GTGTGGTTCAGGGGATTTTGAGGCTTCAGCTCCACATGATGCGCTAGCCTAAATGAGATTAGATCACCTCTTCGGCGTTTAGCATAACGCCGACGCAGCTTCGATGATTCAACGAAATATTGCTCATCACTTTATAACATCACACGGTACATCTGTGCGCAACTATACTGCTTCCACTACCCGTGGAAGTATGCGGACTGTATTGTCAAGACTTGCCGGCCTTCAACACCAGTTCAGAGCGAACCAGCGACTATTCCATACGTCATCACCTAGCATGGCGAAGCTTTCTCTTACCTCCACGCTCCTAATGCCGTCTGGCTATGACATTCCAACCCTTGGTTATGGCGTATATCAGACTCCCGCCAATGTTGCAGCGGAGGTTGTTGAACAGGCGCTGAAGGTCGGATATCGACACGTGGATTCCGCAGTAGCATATCGCAATGAGGCGCCTTCAGCGGAGGGCATGAAGAAGTCTGGGATTCCTCGAGAGGAGCTGTTCTTCACCACCAAAATACCACCGAAACAAATGACCTACGAAAACGCCAAGCAGCACATTGAGAACTCTATGAAAGAGACTGGGTTCGATTACATCGATCTCTATCTTCTCCATTCGCCCTATGGCGGCAAGGAGAATCGCATTGGTGCATGGAAGGCGCTTGTCGAGGGCGTTGAAGCTGGCAAGATACGCAGCATTGGTGTGAGCAATTATGGCGTACATCACCTAGAAGAGCTCGAAACGTATATCCAAAGCATAGACGAGAAGGAGGGGAAGCATAAAGGAGGGGTGCTCAGCGTCAACCAGATCGAACTTCATCCATGGCTGGCGCGAAAAGATATAGTCGATTGGTGCAAGAAGAGAGGCATAATCCTAGAAGCCTACAGCCCTATCGTGCGCGCCAAAAAAGCGGAAGATCTACTTCTTTTACGCCTCGCGAAGAAGCACAACAAGACGACCAGCCAAGTTTTATTACGTTGGTCTCTGCAAAAGGTACGTTAGTGCTGCTTTCGCCTGTAAAGACAGCAACTCACCTGCTTCTAGGGATTTGTCCCGCTGCCAAAATCGGTGACCAAGCACCGTATCGAAGAGAACGCTCAAATCTACGATTTCGAGCTTTCAGATGAGGACATGGAGAGCTTGGATCTTGGGGTATATGAACCTTGCGCCTGGGATCCCACAGTCAGCCGTGATTAAAGACGAGTAGGAAGATCAGCCGCTGTTCTCAAAACACTTTTACAATCGAAAATGAATCCATTCCGCAACCGGCACCCAATCGCACGCATTATCGAAGAACGCGCAAATATTGAGGTGGAGCAAAGTGGGTCTGGCTTGCCTTTCGGATTCACCGTTGAAAGCTTCGCAAGATGAATCTCCACGACAGGATTCGAATCTTTCCATGATCTTCGCGAAACTAAGATCTGATAAAATACCTCGGTAGCGGACAGATTCTCGACGCGTGTTAAGGCTTGATCAACTCTCTGAGCCAATGTAACATAGTGAGGCCGAGAAACTAGTCCACACATCATTGGTGACCCGCACGGAGCAAGTCTAGCCGGTGTGAGTGTTCTCAAACAACTCGCCCGCCTCATGCTCGATATGAGCAGGTAGCACTTGGCGAAGCTGTAACCTGTTAGTACGGAGTATATAGTATAGTGAATCGTAACCTACAAACTATAATGTGTGCCTTAGGATCCGATCAAATGATGCACTTGCAGAGCGCTTTTCTTTGCGACGTTGTCGGTCGCTAGTGCTTGGCCATGTCTTCATCCAGGCTAGGGTGACTCGAGGTCTATGACACCCCCGAAACAGCACTGAATTAGCATAGGCTGACTCTACGTGTAATATTAGACGAGGAACTCGAGAAAACCTTCTCGCTTCTTGCTCCCCCAAATCGTGGATGAACCGCTAGAGATGCGAGAACACAAGCAACATAGACTTTTTTTGTTTATATCTACAAGATAATAGAATCATACAGAATCACTTTCACCGCTGAATAGAACCACTAATCCCATAGCCGCACCCGCCGCCAGACTTCCCACCACCGTCATCTCAACCCCACCTCTGATACCCTTCCACACGAGGTGTAAGTCGCTACTCCCGTGCACCGCTGCAGTCTTCACGTAGCCGAAAGTAAACAGCGTCACCACCATGACACACGCTGACCACAGGAGCCCTTGCTTCACATCGTCGCCGCTGACGAAGAAGTACGGTAACAATGGAATGAAACCACCGACGAAGTACCCCATTGCAATGGTCAGTGCGCACACAAGCGCTCGATTTGACGGAGGCTCCGGTGCAGAGTGCTCGAAACGCATCAGGAACTTCGTCAACCGCTCCTCGCTTCCGTCGATGAGACATCTGGTCACCTGCTCGCCCAGATCATCCGGTAGCCCAACATCGTCCAGAATGCTCTTGACGTCCTCTTCCACCCCGGCTTGGTCTGCGATGATCTTCTTCCTCGTCTGAAGCTGCGTGGCAGAATAGCTTTCGGCTTCGCTCTTTGCGCCGAGGAATCCTCCGAGTCCCATTGAGATGGATCCAGCGATGAGCTCCGCGAGGCCGCCGTAGATGACAACGTGGGTGTTACCCAATGCTGAGAGGCCTGCCGTGAGTGCGAACGGAACTGTGAGTCCGTCTGAAAGACCGATGATGGCGTCTGAAATGATCCGAGGGTCGATCCGGGATTTTCGAGACGAGGATGAGTATGACTGCAGTGTAATTTGGCTCGAAGCAGCGTCGTCGCTGGAGCTGGTTGTCATGCGTTCGATATCGCCAACTGATGATCTTGCTGATGTTGGTGGTAGCATCGAATACGCTGCTGAGTCCCCCGTCGGCATTGTGCCATATGACCTTCCCAACACCGTCGCCATGATGTTCCGGAACGTTTTTCTCGTAGTTATTTGTGCTGTTCGCACCCACTGCAGACTGGATATTTTCATATTTATAGTACTTGCGCTGTAGCACGGTTGACTTGGATCGGGCCGATGATGTGTTCGTACAACAACCCGGCCAATGACGGATGCAGGAAAAGTCAGCGAGCATCAGCAGTAAAACGAAGCTTTGCAATTGCCACGGTCCGAGAGGCTGTTATAGGGAAGTTCGCACCTTTGGCTGCAGCTAGTACCGAATTAGATAGAGCTTAACGCGCTCAACCAATCGCAGGGCGTCTATTTCCCACGTTCCGGATGTCAGCAGAATTCCAACGTCTTCGATTTTGCCTCAGCAAAAGCTTGAAGTGCTTGTCTCGGTGCTTAACATAGGGGTTCCTGCGGCGAACATTTAGTGTATACATGTGCTACGATGCTCAAAATGCTCATGTTCTATATGCCTAGGTGCTCAAGTCGCGATATGTGACGTCACATCAACACCAAACTTCTCGTCAAATCACATCACCGCCACGACGTCGCTCAAACAAGTTATGTGCAGGTAAGCGCAAGCGTTTCTCCTAGCGGGTTTTATGAGAGCGTAATGCGATGTTCCCGTAAGGCCACGACGTTGCTACATACACGCGCACGAGTTTTGAAGCCTAGAGGGATCAAGTCGCGATGCCCGCATACCTGGGCATTCGACGCCCGAACACAATACATTTCTCACAGTCTCTGCGCTCTCTTTGAAGCGGCACTATATGCGGCATGTAGCCATGGCACTAATTGATCGACCAAACTGAGCAAGTAGAATGGTTAACTAAGGTTTAAACAACGAATATAATCAAGCATTGCTAAAGTCACGCCTTCTAAAAGTTGTTAGTCTAGTATGCGTGGAGCACAAGGAAAGAAGAAAAGAAACAAAGTCCATGTGAAATACTTTGCTCTGTCCGTCAGTACCACTGTTGGTTTGATTGTCCGCTCCGGGCGCACTCCCTTATCTGGATCATGTTCTTACCCAATGAAAAACGCATGAGAATCAACGGGTTCCATAATCCCTTTCTACGGCAGAAACCGCATTGCGAATACTGGTGGATCATGGGGAATTTGGCGGCATAGAGGCGTCACTGGCCACGTTCATACACTTTTAATCGTCAATTTATGACGCCTTTGCACTCTCTAGACACTGGGACGCGAGCGCTGCGTCTTGTTAAAAGAGCGCAAAAGCACCATGTAATGACGTGAACTCGTGGACTATTCGAAATGAACACAGTACACCCGCAATGCCACTGGTCAGTACAGGCAGGTTCCTAGCTTCAATACAGAGAATTATTTCACGATAGGCATAAAATAACCGATTGTACGCGGTGTTCTTGACTGCGCACCATTACGAGGCCTACAAACGAGAAGCCATACTTGATGCGACTATGAGCTTAATGAGTTGCTGATGCTGTAACAGCACAACAATCCTTTGGTCTGAGTGTTCCATTTCGAGTGGACGCTTTCGTCTGGTCTGTAGGCTTTATAATGGATGTTGTGCTTCACGATAATTGTACATTTCGATCTTAATGTGTTGATTACTTGGCCCTTGCAAGCTTTTACAAGCCAACTGCTACATAGCATTTCGCTTGGTGCTTTGGCCTAGTATACCTACATGATCTTGAACTTTTAATTACGCATGAGCGACCATACCATTGGAACAGGATGCATTACTTGATATTTCCATGCACTTCTGCACACGGGATTCGTCGCGAACGTAAGGCTGTGTATGAGGATAAAGACGTTGCTTATGCATACATTGCAAGTGTTCGAATAAGAAGCGTATTAGATAATTGTTACTAAGGAAATTAATACTGTGATTATCTGTTACTGGTGGGTTGCAAGTAGCTGTCCGACCTCTGCTGCGGTGTTCGTCATCGCGAGGGTCCCACAGATGCCCCACTCCACGATCCAACATGGCAAAAAGCACTAGTGATACCCCGCGTTCGGCTCTGCATCGCAAAGCCCTACTAGTCACATTTCAGCCTTTGGAAAGGTTGAGGCGCTATCCATAGATGAGTTCTATCGATATATATTTAAAAAAATTCTTTTTATGCATCGATCGGAAATATCAGATGTTTCCATTCCAAAAGTGGCGGGGTGAGATGGCCGAGCGGTTAAGGCGCTGTGTTCAGGTTATACCTAGTATTACCTAGTAACGATCTTCGCAGTCAGGTTTCCTGGCGTGGGTTCGAGTCCCACTCTCATCAAAATTTACTTTTTAGCCTATTTTTTAAGGTTGGTGCATCCAGGTGTGTGTGTTTGGGATGAATGTAAGTGAGTGCGGATGAATAAAAATTGTCTACCCCACTTCGCGGCCCCTGAATAAGTTTCTTTACCTAGAATATCAACTTTGCGAAGCGTTGCAGGAGTAATATACTAATTATCGCTTATTGTTGAACTGTTCGAAGGGGAACACTGTTTTGGTTGAAACGTTGTGTACTTTATTGCTGACTACTATACTTGCCACATCGTGTGTTATATATAGACGAAGACTTTGCGTCAGAAAGCTTGTAAATTGAAACAAGAGGTTAGAATACCATGTGAGTTAATAAGAGTGGGATAACTGCTTTCTCCACAGAAACAGCCTTATCCTGGGATTGTCGCGGCTTTATTCGTCCTGAAATATTAGGTTTGGTTCCGGAAACGTTAATACTATTATGATTAAGCCTTTCCTTAAGATGCTTACTTATTGATCATACGTGGACAAACCGTTCTAATGCTAGGAGGTTTGTCGTCTACACACTTTTGCGTCCTAGATTTTAAACCAAAGACTAAACTGTAGGAGAGCTACGTGGACTGATGAACCCATTCTCTTTGCCGTATCCTGGCCGAGAGCATTGCTGGACTGCAATTTCAAAATGGCCTGTTAAGCATGCGTATGTCCTAAACTTGGCCGCTGAGCTGGAGCTTTCTGTTCCGTCGACCTCCTTACGTCGACCCTTTTAAGTCGACTATCTTACGCTGACTCTCCTACGTCGACCATCTTACCATTAATGTCTACTTGGCGCTACCGGAACCTATAGAAAGCGCTACACATTCCCCGACTAGTCCTCCGTGCATCCTGGCCTCCCAACGAGAGCCTGAAAAAAAGGTAGACCAAGATCCCAATGTGGCTCAAAAACGACTTTACTCGACGCGATGGCGCTTCGGAGTCGCTCTTCGTGTCTCAAAAACTACTTCAAGCTCAGCATGCTCGAGCACCGTCTTTCAGCCTTGGAAGAAGTGCGGTGGGGCATGGACACTGATGATGTGCATTACCGCTGTAAGCACACGTCGTACGTCGTTTGCGACCGTAGATAAACTTTTTTTTTTCGATTGGTCCGCTTTCCTAACACGGCTCGCTCCCTTGGATCTGATGAACAAAAACAATGGGTTCCATCCGCGAATGTCGCACGGAGAGCTACATTGTAAGTATCTCATATCCTTTCCCTCTACTGAAGCCTAAAATTCAACGTGACAATTCAACATAGAGGATCCGATACATGACGGTGGGACGGTCGACGATGATGCCCATCAACACCGCATGAACTTCAAAAACACCCGCTAAAAGGCATAAAGGTCCGTTTCTATGCTGTCGGCTCAGCTACTTGAATTTTTTTTGAGGCATCTAAAACACCTAAATCAGCGCATACACCGCAAGTGCTGACACTTTGACGCCTTGCGTGATGCGTACCAGACCTTTCCCGCCAAAGCAATACATGGTCGACGCTGGTGACAACCTTCGTCACCAAGTTTCAAACTGACGATTCCATGAACTATAAATGCCTCTCGCGCTTTCAGAGTATCTCTCTTTACACACTTGCACTCACTGATGAATGCCAAAAAGCTGCCCGGACTCCCCGCATGCGTCTTCGGACTCTATAGCCAGGTCTTAAAGCGCAAGATATTGGACACATGTTTCGATTTGAAGCTTTCCAGCCGTGTAACCAGGGTTGTCAACAAACAAATGTGCTTCAAAATTTTGATTTGATTTTGTTTGATTTTTTAAATTTAAACAAACAAATCTTCTGTGCGCTAGATTAACAAACAAATTTAAAATAATAGGCTTCTCTATTTAAATATTTTAAGTTTGTTTAAAAATAGCTATTAGACCCGTTATAGCCTAGCCCTACTATATAATATAATATTAGCTAAATAATCGCGTACTTCTCGCGTACACAGCGCGTTAACGCTTAACTTACTTATATTCCTTACTTTAGCCTGCCTATATAGCTTACTTTTTCGCGCCTTTGCACACACACGTTTACGCCTATTATACCTTTAAAATAAAGCTATAAGTCTGCTAAGGTAGTTAAACCTGCACCTAAACGTCCTTATCGTGCGCCTAAGCCCTTATAAAAGGTGCGCTAAAGCATTAATAATTAGCTAACTAAGCGCGATAGTACGCCTAAGCCTTTATTTATATAGCCTGTAGAGCCGCTTACAGAGCCACCAAACACGCCGCCAACCTAGCCAAAGCCGCTGCTAGATGCTTCACCCCAGCGAGCATCTCCACGCCAGAACATGCAGCTAGCCATTCCCGAAGCCTCACAAAATAGCAATAACGTTGCCTGGGAGTTGCAATTAATGCTTAATAGGCCTAAGGCATTTATAACGCAGCTAATAGCTAGCTCTAACGTAGTAATAAAGATAATAATAGAGGCAGCTCTTACTCCTAAGGAGGGCTAGGCTAGTAACTATAATAGCTGTAACTTTAACAGATTAAATAGTATAGCAAAGCCACTTACTACGCTAAAGAGTAACACTAGCTAGGTCTATAAGCATGGCTATCGCGTGTGGAAGAAGAACACATATGAGCCAGAGTAGCTCTACTTTATGTGTAGGTACTGCCACACGCGTAATCTCCCTGGGGCTATATACTAAATAATAAAGTTAACTAGCGCTGCTATACAACATCTCGCCTAAGATAAACCTAGCTATTAAGTCTGTAAAGATGGCCCTATTGCCCGCAAGCCTACGCGTAAACCTAGTTAAATATTACTATAATTTACTACTAAGGGTGGCCTTAAAATTACTATAGAGACCTTTAACGAACTAGGTAACTTTAACGTATATAGCTTTTAATAGGTAGCTATACTTTAGCTAGTTAATAATAATAGAGCTCTCCGCGAGTTTAAAACACTAGCTTTTTATAAGATAATAAGATTTGCTAACCCTAAGGCAGAGGTAGCGCTATAGAGCTCTTATAATAGCGTAGTAAGCTTCGTAATAAAGCTCTATAGCTATATAAAGCCGCAGGTAGTGCGCGCGTTAGCGGAGGCGGAGAGTAAGGTGTATATAAGCTTTAATAGGTAAACTGCTAAAGGTGGTAAACGTGGCTTCTTTGCTGTAGTTGCGCACTACGTTAACTATAAAGGCGCGATAGTTGACCTGCCTATAGCGCTGCCACAAGTTGTAGGTGCTCACTCTAGCGAGGCTATCGCTAACGCTGTTGCTGCTATCCTGGAATACTTTGGCATTAATCGCAACAAACTTAGGTACTTTGTACTTAACAACGCCGCTAACAACAATACTGCTATTAATAAACTTACTATAATATATAACTTTAATAGTACTAAACGACGCCTCTACTGCGCTTACTATATACTTAACCTTATTAGCTAAATAATTATGTTTAGTCGCGACGCCGACGCGTACGAGAACGAGCCTAAGAATATAAAAGAGGAAGAGTTTTATATAAAGGAGTGGCAAAAGGATAGACTATTAGGCGTCTTCTTTAATATAATAAACTATATTAATACGCTAAATTAGTACAGCCTCTTTACAAGCTATTAGTAATAAGCTATAAAAAAGATGCCTTAAAGCGCTGTCTCTATTAGCATACGCGAGCTAGTTAAGCCTGTAGTTACGCGCTAGAATAGCTATTATAGTGCACTTAAGTGTAGGGTTAAGCTTTAATAAGCTATTACCTCGTATACTAATTACTACATAATAAAGACTAAAGTAGCTAACTCTACTGCGCGAACTTGCAGTAACAAGCTTCTATTAGCACTACGATAGATAAGGTTAACAAGGCTTATAGCTATAGATTAGGCAGTTATTAACGACTACATCGCTATACTATAGCTGCTTAAGTTTATAACTAATCGCCTCTAAGGCTATAGTAAAAGTAGTTGTTATAGCGCGCTGTACGAGGTAATTCCTATATTAGAGTCTATAATTACTAAGCTAGATGCCCGCCTTAAGTCTTATAAAGGCGTTAACTTTACCCTAACTAAGGCGCCTAAAGACCACCTGCTGATTAACCTACGCGCCGCGAAGAAGAAAGCGATCGAATACTTTAAAAAGCTACTTAAAGCACCCGTTTACTACACTGCTATAGCACTCTACCTACGCTATAAGATATACTGCAAGCGTTTATAGTAGCACAAACCTAAGGTCTATAACCGCTGCCACGCGTAGTTTCTGCAACTATAGACAGCCTATAAGCCTACTAACGCCGTAACTATAACACTAGTTACACTACTAAAGCCCTTAATAAGTAGCTTTAACAACGCTATTAACTTTATACTTAACGCTAGCGATCGCGAGTGCACTAAGGCGGCGAAGGACAAGTATAATTAGTAGCTAAAAGAGCCACTATAAATAGCTTAATAACATAAAACAGGCGTTATAGCTATATAGTACTAGCTTAAGTTAAAGCTAAAGTACCTACATCTTTCACAGCTTGTAATTAACTTACTCTTAATTCCCGCCTTTAGTAGCGACTGTGAAAGAGTCTTCTCAGGTACTAGCGATATAATAGACCCACAGAGGCGAAAAATAAGCTCACAATTACTAGCTACTCTTATATGTACGCAGCGATGGATAAGGGCAGGTTTTAAGCCTCTAAGCGCGATAGTAATAGCAAAGTACTGCAAAGAAACGCTTATTAAAAGCTTTAGGATAGAGGAGTGGAAGGAGTTACTATAGTAATTACTATATAAATTACCTTTTATAGTCTCTAGCTTCTTAAAATTTAAATAAATAATTTAAACAAAAGCACCCCTACAGTCTATTAAAATTAAATAAACAAACTACAACACCATAAAATCGTCAAACAAAGCAAAACTTAGCTTTAAATATTGTTTGTTTTGTTTGTTGACAACTCTGCGTGTAACTAAGCTTACCAATGGCGGTGATGAGCTCCATCACCGCGGATCAATCTCAGGGGGAAAATCTCAGGGGCTCTCAACCCGCCTTTCTCATCGCCTGGTGACCATGCTGT